TGCACAGCCCTAGGGGAGAGAAGCCAATTTCAGCCATTTCTTGATTGGTGCATGAATCTTGAAAGATTGGGGCAATACCCTGTAGGGACAGTTCCATGTGGATATATATATATATATAAATAAAAGGGACCTTTTCCATTAAAGCAGAAGAGATAAGAGAGAACAATTCCTGAAAATTTGTTAGTTTCTTTGCTTTTCATCCCTTTTATCAGCATTGCATCTCTAAGAAAATATTTTTCTGGAGGTTCGAGTTGTTATGTCTCTAAGTTGCAAAACTCATACTTATATTTTCTTTGTGGAAGAGGCAATACAGCAAGAAAAATTCATGTTTCTGCAATTATGAGGGTACTATGGTACCAATGTAGCTAAATCTAGCAATTGTAAAGGTAATAACTTGAAGGAAGATGTAAAGGAAGTACTAGTTATCCGAAATTAATGTTTAGTATTTATACATGCCCTAATAATTTCGAATTTCGGATTGGATCGGATTAAAATTATACCAATCTGAATATTCGAAATTTTAATAAACATAATCCGAAATCCGAAATCCGAAATTAAACGGATCGGTTCGGATTTGGAATATCCAATCCAAATGCACAGCCCTAGGGGAGAGAAGCCAATTTCAGCCATTTCTTGATTGGTGCATGAATCTTGAAAGATTGGGGCAATACCCTGTAGGGACAGTTCCATGTGGATATATATATATATATAAATAAAAGGGACCTTTTCCATTAAAGCAGAAGAGATAAGAGAGAACAATTCCTGAAAATTTGTTAGTTTCTTTGCTTTTCATCCCTTTTATCAGCATTGCATCTCTAAGAAAATATTTTTCTGGAGGTTCGAGTTGTTATGTCTCTAAGTTGCAAAACTCATACTTATATTTTCTTTGTGGAAGAGGCAATACAGCAAGAAAAATTCATGTTTCTGCAATTATGAGGGTACTATGGTACCAATGTAGCTAAATCTAGCAATTGTAAAGGTAATAACTTGAAGGAAGATGTAAAGGAAGTACTAGTTATCCGAAATTAATGTTTAGTATTTATACATGCCCTAATAATTTCGAATTTCGGATTGGATCGGATTAAAATTATACCAATCTGAATATTCGAAATTTTAATAAACATAATCCGAAATCCGAAATCCGAAATTAAACGGATCGGTTCGGATTTGGAATATCCAATCCAAATGCACAGCCCTAGGGGAGAGAAGCCAATTTCAGCCATTTCTTGATTGGTGCATGAATCTTGAAAGATTGGGGCAATACCCTGTAGGGACAGTTCCATGTGGATATATATATATATATAAATAAAAGGGACCTTTTCCATTAAAGCAGAAGAGATAAGAGAGAACAATTCCTGAAAAATTGTTAGTACTAGCTTTTAGTGAAAAATACTACTCCATCCGTTTCAAATTAAATGAGATACTTTCCTTTTTAGTATGTTTCAAAATAAATGACACATTTTTAAATTTGAAAATAATTCAACTTTAAACTCTTCATTTTACTCATTTTATCCTTAATGAGAAGCTTTTATAACCACACAAATTTTATGGTCCACAAAGCTTTTACCCCTTAAGCTTTTAAGACCACAAGTTTTAAAAGTCATCTTTTATTTTCTTAAACTCCGTACCGAGTTAAAATATCTCATCTAAATTGAAAAGGAGGGAGTACTAAAACGGTACACAAAATCAGGATAATAATCTAAGAATAAAGTTTAGGATTAACTTTATTCTATGTTTGGTTTAGGATATCAACCAATTCGAGATAATTTTTACACTAAAATTATAAAATTAGTTATCTCACGCCGTCACACATGCGATATTCCACCATTATACCAAACAACCGAATAGAATGTAGAGTGAAGACAAAAGAACATGCATGCTCATCTCCCCCAAGGAAACCCCAAAAGAAGAAAAGGGGGAGGGGGGGAGGGGATAATTAGAGAAATGAATTAAAGGTGAGAACTTGTCCAGAAATAGGAATCTATCTGCTTCTTGCCTGGATGTTCTTTTTTTTTTTTTTTTTACCAAACAGAACACGATATTAATGATGGTCAAGTCAACAAGGTCTTTAAAATGACAGTCAAAGCAAAAAGAATAACAAAAATTTAGTGCCAAAAAAATAATGAAGGAAGTTGACGCAGATTTAGTACAGCTTTTACATGATGCTCACTAAAGAAGCCTTACCCATGTCTATTAGAGATTAAATGCTTAATACATATTTTGTCTGAAAATCCTTAATTTGACATTTACACTTCATGGTAAAACTTATACACACCAAATCTTACATGCATTGATGATGTTCCCTCTTTTTTAACTTGCTTTCTTAGATATAGGCGTGGGCGTCCAGCCGAGCCAAGATAAATTGAATTGAATCCAAACCTAACCCACCCCCCACCCCCCAAAAAAAGAAAAGGGGGAGGTGGGGGGGGGGGGGGGGGGGGGGGGGGGGTTGCTACCAATTATGGAATATAATTAAACCAACCAATAAACGAAAAGAAAATTTCGATCAAGTTTTAAGTCGACCAGTTGATGTTGTCAAGTCGAATTCGGATTAACCAACCAATAAATTTAAGATAATAAATGCATAAAGGGAAAAATAAACACCTCTTATCTCTATCTTATACTCTCTGTCTTTTCAAGTATGCCAATAGGCAAAGGACAAAGGAACAAGGGAAGGGCATGTATTCTTTATTCCTAACTAACACAAGCCTCCAAAAAGAAAGTTGTCCAAACTGCTACTGCCCTGATTCCAACTCCCCCCCTGCTTTTGGCATTTCTTCTGGACTTTTCTTTATTATTTTATTTGTTTCAATTTATGTGATAGTAATATTTGAAATGTAGCCATAAAGATTCTTTATGCAACATGGGAGTATAATATTTCCCCTTTTGGAGTTTTGATCCCCACATCCTTCCCCCCTCTCAACTTCTTCAATCTCATTTTCAACTATAACTCCAAAATATTAGAAACTAGCTTGGATTTAGTTATTATTCTCACAGTTTAACAGAAGATCAAAGATTCATGCTAAATGACAAAGTCATTGACCGATGAAAATAGCTACAGCTTTACTTCAAACACATGCCAAAGAAAATAATTAATGGATATGCAAATTTACAAATACTAATAATAACTGGAAAATCATCCACTCAAGAGAACAAACTGTCATATATATATATATATGCCAGAATAACTGGAGTAGGAATTTGACAATTAGCTAAAGCCTTCCTACTCAATCAAAAATAGATTGTCCCATTTTTCAATTTACTGCTTAAGTATTAATTCTCCTCCGTTCTTCAGTCTCATTATTTCTATATTGAAAAGGCTCGTGAAAGAAAATTGAGAGAAATACATTCATCGAAAAGAATTTAATTTACGTACATACACAAACTGATGTATAACTTTTTAATATTATAAGTTAAATTAAACCTATTATTATATCATGTTATCTATGTTATTTTCAGATGACTAATTTAATTTATATATGGACAGTTATCAATAGTTAATTTTGCATAAGTTGATAATATAAATTTATTTTTTAATGACGGTGTATAGAAGTTGCTTACGTCGAGATGGCGGTAGGGGTGGTCATATTTCGGTCCGAATCGAAAAAACCGACCGAATCGAAAATATTTTTATTTTGATTTCGGTTATTCGGTTTTTTCGGTCGATTTCGATTTAAAATTTTAAAATTTAAGTTTTTTGGTTCGGTTTTCGGTTATTAATTTATTTGGTTCGGTTAACCGAAAAATCGAATTATTAGCAAACCAACAAATTTTCGGTTGGTTTCAGTCTAATTTATCGAAATTTTGAAACAAAACCAACAAATTCGTCGGTCCAATTATTACATAGAGAGAGCCCAATATGATAATGTTCAAACCGAAAACCGAATCGAAATAAACCGAACCGAAATTAGAAAACCGAACTGAACCAAACTTATTTCAGTTCGGTTTCGGTTACTACTTTTACAAAACCGAAAACAATTTACTAATTATAGCGAGCCAAATTTGGATATTTGTCGCTTTTGAAAACGATACACAAAAATACCTGAAAATAGCACGAGTCATTTCGGATCGGTAATTAAAAAATAGCTAGCGTTTGCAAATTCATTGAAAAATAGCCGTTATTTTGCTGCAACACGAAAAGTTCCAACATAATATACTGGAGTGCACTTATGTATGAACTTTCAACATATTATGCTGGAACTCCAGCACACGAAAAGTTTCAGCATAATATATTGGAGATTGGAGCACATGTATATAAACTTCTAGCATATTATACTGGAACTCCAGTATATTATGCTGAAACTCTAGTATATTATGCTAAAAGTTTACATGTAAAAAACTCGAACTCAAGTATATTATGCTGAAATATTTTTCGAAAACAGTATTTTTGTTCAAATTTATCTTTACATTAAAAATAACTAAATTTTAATTAATTTTAATATTGTGGCTATTTTTCAATCACAGTCTCACTATTTTTGAATTACCCGAGAGAGATCCAATACTGAGTAAATCTTGCAATGGCGTTATATTCATAGACTCTTATTTCAAAGTAAAAAAGGCAAGTGATTAAGCAAATTTAAATTAATATGGAAACTAGGAAGCAAACGTTGAATCTCCACTATAAACTACAAAGAGCAATACAACATCTTCAACAATCAACTTTCATCTCCGTATTAGTCTACGTGTATAACATTCTGTAGATTAGCAAAATGCTACGCCCTCCGTTTCAATTTATGTGAATTTATTTTCTTTTTAGTCCATGTAAAAACAAAATAACCTCTTTCCTTATTTGGAAACAATTTACCTTTATGCAATATGTGTCTCATTTTTAACCACAAGTTCAAAAATTTTCTCTCTTTTCTTAAACTTCGTGTCCAATCAAATTGATTCACATAAATTGGAAACGGATGGAGTATTAATAAGCTAAGGTAGATTAAAATGGAAACTTGGTAAAAAAGTAAAACTTTCCATTTCCACTCAACAACGACACTTTAATTGAAAAAAAAAAGTAAACGGATTTTTTCTTCTTTCAACAAAATAAAAAAGGTACAGAATACAACATCTTCATCTTAACATTTCTTGATTCTGTACATCACATCGACTAAAATGACCTTGTTTCCATGAACCCTTTAAAAAACAAAACATTTCAAAGAAAAACAATTCAGAAATAAACCCAAAACCCAAACCCCCGAAAAAGAAAGCTAAATGGTAAAGAAAAAAGAAAATTAAGATGAAGAAAAAATTAAACCTTTCTGTATCGTCTTTTCAATATTATCAAACGACACCGTTGCCTCCACGAGCTATAGCTTCAGCGACGGAGCCCAATTTCTGAAGATTCAACTTGACGACTGTATCAGCAAAAAGACGAGTGTCTTCTTCAGTATTCCCTTCAGGTACATCAACAACGTAAGATTCCAAAACAACGGTCGAGATTTTCCCATCGCGTTGCTGATCGAATCCATGTACAGTAGTAACTGACCTGTAATTCCTCAACCTATGTTCCCCACCAATTATACTGAAACCCGTAACGTACTTTTCATCATCCAAAATATTAAGCCTCTCAGTACTTGTATCCGCCGGTAAACCGGAGATGACGTTGACGTAACGCGTGGCACCCACAGCGATGGAGAAGTTTTCTCCGACGGAACAGCTCTTGATGAAGTGTTTGTATATCTGGGGTTTGTCGAAACGGCGGACGACGGACCAGACGATGTGCGGCGGCGCGTGGATGCGTTGTGCGAGTAGGGAAGAGCATTGTGTGGCTGAGTTGACTCGGTATGTGTGGAACTCAGTCACACTTGATTTTAGCTCATCGAATTCTTCTGGTGTCAAACCGGGTGGAACCGTTAAGTGATGGGTCGTGTTTGATGACCCGTTTGGTTCTTCTTCGGGCTCTTGATGCTGCTGATGAACGTGGGTCGTTGAGCTCTCAGATTGCTCCATTAAATGGAAAGAGAGAGAGAGAGGTTTGAAATGAAAAAGATGGAGAAAGAGAAAGGGGGAAAAAGATTTTATTTTGTTTACATTCGTGAGCGATTAAAGGTGAAGAGAAAGGCAAATGGAAAAAATAAAGTGTTTATTTTATTCTTATTTTAATAATAAGTGAATAATAGAAGAGAAGCAATCACTTTGTTCTTTAATGTCCAATAGTCTTTGACTCTATATATTATACTCCCTCCGTTTCAAATTTATGTGAATTTATTTCCTTTTTAGTTTGTGTCAAAGAATGATCTTTTTCCTTATTTGACAACAATTTACCTTTATGCAATGATTTATAGCCACATAAAATATATGTACCTCATTTTACACCACATATTCAATAGTCTTCTCTCTTTTCTTAAACTCTGTACCCAGTCAAATGGGTTCACATAAATTAAAACGGAGCAAGTACATGTTAATTCCTCCAATTTTGTAAAGGGCAAAATAAAAGCACTAAAGTAGAAGAACATTCAAATATTAAAAGGTATCAACTTTTTAAAAAAAAATAGATAAGAAAAAAAAATACTATCTGTTTTATTTATTTTATGTGATATTATTTTTTAATTAATTAATTTTTAAAGAATGATTCATTTCTATATTTGAAAAATATTTCATCTTGTTCTTAATGCAAAGTCTTTATAGTTATATTATCATCACAAGTTCAAAATTATTATAATTATATAAATAGTATAAAATATATAAAATCAAAAGTATTTATTTTTCTTAAATTTTATATCAAATTATAATATATCACTCAAATTGAAACGAAGAAAGTGGAGGATATAAAATGAGATTGAGTAAAAGAGAAAATTTAGAGTGTGTAGATATAAAAAATGAAAATGTAGAGTGCGTAGCAAAGTGTCAAGGTCAAGTAAGTGAGAGGACAGGTTGGTTGCTGCCCCGCTAGGTGGCCCATGATTGGTCGAAAGGTCAGCTAAGCTCTTAAGCTGCAAGTCAAGACAAGTTATTTGTTTTTTTTCCCTTATTTTTCACAAGTCAATACTCCATTTATTACTATTTCCACTGTTTAGGACTGGTAAATGGGCCGGTTCCGAGCCTAAACGGGCTAAGTGGGCCGGTCCAAACGGTTCCGAGCAGGTCCCAAATTAAACGAGGCCTAAACGGGCTTTTTATAGGGACCGGTCCGAGACGGTCCCGGGCTAAACGGTTCCGGCCCGCGGGCTAAGTGTGCCCAATATATTTTTTTAAAAAAAATTAAATAGATATTAGAGATAAAAGGATGTTAAAAAAAATATCTAAGACAATGCTTTATAAATTTTATTATAGAATTGTGACC